CAGATATATTTAGACTTCCGCGGGTACAAAATTTGGAAGTATATATCAGTGACGAAATTTAATGCGAGATTGTGAGCAGAATGCATTATTAGTATAGATACGCTACATTCCAACAGATACTACACCACAGTTAAATAATGAAAGAAAATACGATATAAAAGTTTCATTTATTAACTCATCCTTGTGTCACCTGACTACACTGACATATTTCTAAAAATCTGAGCACAAATAATCTTAAAATAGGTCGTATTTTCAAATGTCTGATAAATATTTTGATATCATTAAACAAATTCAACGATATTCCTATTGAAAGTAACTGAGATTTTTGACATAAATCTGAATTTTAGTTACGCCAACATTAAATTAGCTTTCAATCTGCAACATACGTGTTCTTTTATCTGCAGGAATAACTCATAAAACAAAGTTTAAGGAGCATAGAAAAATCATTAGTTCCAATTCTTTTCCGAACAAATTAACTTGTGAAGGTGTCGTTTTATAATTCCTTGAAAACAAAAACAATTCGTACATGACTTCCAGGAAAGAAGAGTTTTGGGGTTGGATTCGCCTTGCTCTTCTCTTTTGTTCTTGGGAGAAGGTAGGAAGAAAAGTGGCTGGATTTATTGTCGCGTTGGGGCTCACATTTCAAGGATCGTGCTCCAGTGTACTTGACGTGAAGACAGAGCTATGTCCACAAAGCAGTACGCCACACATTATTTAGATATATTCATTTCTATTTAAATCTATCGGACTTCTCTACATTCGTTATATTGTCTATCATAATTACATAAATTAGTAAAAAAAATTAAGGTTATGAAATAAGGCAGTAATCCGCAAATCTATCGGACTTCTCTACATTCGTTCTATTGTCTATCATAATTACATAAATCAGTAAAAAAATTAAGGTTATGAAATAAAGCAGTAATCCGTCCATCAAAATGTTTGTAATACACGTAGAGACCTAGTTCAGAATTGTAAAAATATCACTTTGGCAAGAAGCTAGACACACGTATAGGCTTAACAGACAGACAGGCCCAGTGAAATTACAATTATCTTTTCGACAAATTACATCTCTGGGTCAAGAACGTTTCACACCAGAATTCTCAGACACCCAGCAACAGACTTCATCCTTCGCCTGTTTAACGATTAAACATGATTTTCAAACGTCACCACGGGTACACGCAAATAGAAGACCAGCATTTCCTTAAATTTAATTCAACACGGAAGAGTAATGAATGTCACTGTCTGTATTACTTTCTGGTCAGCAAAATCGAGACCAGAGAAGACGTCACTTGTGCCCTGTAAGAAGGGCTCAAGTCAATACAAATCCAGTTTGACTTAAACCCTTCTTGCCGATCACCAAATATATATTCCATATCAAAAGACCCGGAATACTGCGAAAGGACAGGAGAGTCACTGTTACTGTGTATTTTCCTTTTCGTTAACAAATTCATTTAGCTTAACCGTATCAAAGAAACTTCATATTGTCTATATATCCCGTTGTCCTCAATACGACTAATTATTTCCCAAAACATCCCTTTGAAGTATTTACCAACGACCGCACTCGGCTTCCGTTCACGCAGAATAGCTTAACCTGGAGCTGTCACACCACTCTGTTCATGAATTTAACACTACAGAAGCCAAAACGCCATCTTACGTCCACTGTCGAGTGCTAGAAGTTCTTAAGGAATGGGGGTCTATTCATTTGCCTTTGGGCCCGTGAAACATTTTACTTAACCTCTTCTACGCATGCATCGGTTTATTAAAGCCGTTCTCAATTTTATTCTTCCCCATCCGCTCTCTCTCTTCCACTCCTCTCTCTCTCTGCCACTCTACCCTGGACACGCCTTCCCCGTCTAACTTTCCACAGTCCACCGTTCATCCTCCGTGGTGTCATCCGCTCCAGCACTAGTGAGGGCCATCATCTGTCTGCCGTCTTCCAGTCTTTGAACGACCTCCTTATCTCATTATTTAATTATTATATAATCGAAAATAGAATTCTGTAAGACCATGTTTTTCTCTAATTACATTCTTGGCCTCTTAACGTCTTTCTATTAGACTGTACAGCATCAAATGACGCATGACCGAACAGAACCGCAAAGGTTTACTCCAGTTTGGAGTACACGTATCTTCCAAATTCTTTCTTCAAAATTCTGCATGCCACATTTGTTTTTGTTCCCATTTAATTAACATACAATTCCGTTATTGTACCGTCTCTGGTCGGTAAGTTTGGCTTAAACCGCACACCACGCAGCTGATTGGTTAGCGCTTCTAATTGGTGTTGGGAAGTTCTGGCTATCCTGATTGAAGTGGTTTCGTTGTACTCTTAAGTCCATCCGACAAATGCGAGGCAACGAGCACATTCTTCCATGTCCTTTCCTAATCATAATTTATTAATTGCCCTATTATTCGATGCTGAAATCAATACAAATTACATTGAACTTTATTTCTTCTTCCCAAGAAACAAAGACATAATGAACTCGTTTTTTACAGAGCTAATCACACTACATACGAGTCAGAGTTTATTTCACTTGTGTTTCGTTAAACATCCAGTTTCAAATACGAGTTGTGGATAAATTTACATTTTGTCAGTTTGTTGTGTGATGAGTTTCCTTTCTGGAAAGCTTATTAATCTAATAACCATATAGTTAGAATCATTAAGAAAGAATTAATAAAATGCAGTATATACGATATACGAAGTAAGGAATTTCACTAATTTTATAGACTTTACTTTTAAAACGGGGCGAAATATCATCACCTCAAGACACATTCGTGTCAGTATATTACAATACCATTTTCTAGGGGAACATCTGGTATACATCGAAAGCCTATTAAACATTCTGTATGTAGCATTTTATCGATAGGATTCTAATACATGTCCACAAACAAAAAAACTTCTTAAATGAAAAATAATATTCAAACACCTCGCATTCGCCTCGTAGCTTCACATAACATGCAGCATATTCTAGAATATGAAACACGAAGTCCTCTGCATTCCAATGACTTCCAAGTGCCGCGACATACTTGTAACAGAGGAATCCTTTCAAAATCAACTGCAATCCTCGTCCTAGCCGACGCAACTCCTTTTCAACTATAAAAACGAGACAAACTCTAAGGATTCCTATACTACAGTAACAACCAACATGGCTGAGAATGGAGCGAGGTCCGGGCTGTAGGGTGGATGATTAAACACCTCCCAGCTGAACTCCTGCAGGAGACTTGCTGTCTGTCGAGCCGTGTGCGGCCTAGCGTTATCACTGACCGCACTTCACAGTCGGCGGGAGCTGGAATAAGAACCTCCATCTTCAACAGCTGCAACGATGCTACTGTGAGAACGCGGGAAGTGCCGTTAGTGCATGCGCCATGCTACGTCATTGCTCTATCACGTACGCACAGTCGCTTCGCGCAATATAAGGTTTGCTAGCTGTGGGACGAGTGGGAAACTTACTTTGAGGACGCGCCTCGTAAATGGAAAATCTATGTACAGAATGTCCCAAGAACATACACACACATTCTAATATGGAACAATAACATTATGTGTTCGCATATACTTGGGGAAATCTGTATAATAAGCAGATAATGACCGGTGCTTTTCTGCCGATCTGCAAAAATCTGAGTGACCGTATTTATGACCGCTCGAGGTCACACACTAGTCACCGAAATGTCACAGTAAAGACAGTGGCACTCCGTGGAGTTTCCGAATAGACGATTTTAAATTTATAAATGTCTTTCGAAGGTCATTTTTCAAAACGCATATTTCTGCCGATTTGTAGGGATCTGAGTGTCAATACACATTTTCAGGTCACGGACAGTTCAACGTCACATCATATCCACGAAAATATGACAACGGGTCCCTTACGAACCAGATCCACAAAGACACAGTTTTACCCCATAGCAATAAAGGCATAAATATTAATATAATCCTCCTTTCTACAGCTACGTAGAAAGGATAATATTAAAATAGACCCCCTTTGTACACTTACGTTATCAAGCATTAGCATTATTTGGGAGGTTCCGTGTTAAAATCTAGCACACATCGGCTCCATGGCTAAGGCTTCTCATAATTTTCTTCAGTTTCTCCAAACAATTCCGGGTTAGTAACTTAAATTAGGCTATCACTGCTTCCTTCCATATTTATTCGATTAATTATTGATGTATCACCTCATCATTCGACAATTATAGCCAAATCTACGAGCAACGTCGTTAAATAAGCCACAAAACATACTTACGTCTCCCAAATGACCTCTGATAAAATGAGCTGTGATATATCCACATAAAATGTTTAGATAACATTCAACTTAACCAAATTATTATTCTCATTTAGATAGGAGAAACCCCTGCGTAGTTTGTTACGAGATGTTAATGGCTGACTAAATGTAATATATTATCTGGATAAAATTACAATTAGAAACAAACCCTAGATTACCTATAACATAGTTTCCTTCACGTAAACGTTGCATGTGGCACTAAATTTACATAAGTCTACAACTTCTTATTCGATATCCCGTTCGATTCTTGATCAGGGTACAGACTGCTAATAAGTCTACTAGGCATGTTCAGCAAATTTATTTATACTTTCAAACAGGCCTCTGGTAGGAAAGCTAAAAAACTTGAAAACACAGTAAAAGAAATCAAATTTGCACTTGTAACAACAACAAAAACACATATAACTAAAATATTCACACAAATTCGAAAATAGTATTTTTGTGCTTCAGAATGTTTCTTTGCTATTTAGGGAGCCCGAAAGTTTATTGCTGTGTTGACAAGAGCCAGCCTGAATAGCATTTTGTAAAATGTTAATTTTTTATCGTGCGGAAATGTTACCCCCCCTGCCCAACCCCCAAAGCTGGAAGACCACAGCTTTCGACCGTCCATTCTTCCACAACTGGAAGTATTCTCCTTCATCAGCAACCTCAGGACAACGAACCCATTTAAAACGTCCATGATTTCAAATACGTTACATTGCTTGAAGCAGTACTGTGAACCAGACTGAATAACAAATTTAAGGGATAGCATTAATGTTTCGTATCCATGAAGATGGAGCAATCATTAGGCAGCCTTAAGAGGTATAAATTAATAACAGAAGCCACGCGTGTTTAGCAGACTGTTGAACGTCTACAGCGACAATGAAGACAGTGGTTGTGTTTGCGCTGTTGTTAGGACTGGCAGCTGCCACGGATTCATCCCTTAATTTCACGGTTTTTGGTAAGTTATTTCAGTAATCTTCTGAACTCTTGAAATAATTTAAAACTTCCTTAATTCCTTTTGTCGATCGTACATATTCAGTGAAGATTCAAAGAAAAATCACACAGATATCCGAATTAGTAATGTTTGAATTGTGGTCATAGATAATAAACATGAAAATGAAATAATTATCTTTCATAAGTTCTGGCTTTACGCTATCCTCCCATCAAATTCTCAGTTTTACAAGGGTTTCAACAGCAACATTCAGTAGCTTATATTCCCGTCCAAAACTGTACGTCCACCACAAGTCACTCTCCTTGCTGTGGCAAACTTAACCTAACCTGCGTTATATAAAGAAGACCGCCATTAAACAACATTTTCTACTCTCCACTTCCATCTACCTGCCTTAGGTCCAAATATTATTTTATCAGGTTACGTTCACGACAATTCACGTCGACAAAAGAAACCACTTTCCTCTACCATACAAAGTAACTGGTAAAATTGGTATCTTAAGTAGGGTAATATTTTGAAACAGCAATTTTGGTAGTTCATGACTTAAGAGGAATTAATTTCACTTATTAACACAACCTATCAAACTTGGTGGAATAAGACAATTGAAAAAGACATTTTAAATATGAGCAATACTTGGACAGGACGCCGCTCATTTCGAAATAAACGTCCTATATCCTCCACTTCCCCAAAACTATAAATTTACGTGTTGTATAACCACCTCTTTTTTCCCCCAAGAAAAATAACATATGCAAGTGGTGAGAGATTGTAGCCTTTCAAAAAAAAAGAACCCCTCAAATACTTTTATTAAAATTAATATAGTCCAACGAAAAAAAGGTAAATTTTATAGTTTCTTTCACCAAAAATGTAGAAGTAATAATATAATGAAAAAAGCTTAAAACTTACAAATACATTTTAAAAATGAACTTGTACACTCTACTCAATCAACGGAGGCCCAGCTGAGAAACAACCTTGTTCATGTTAACTGTAATATTGTAGAATGCCCACAGCACAGAAACTTTATTTATATAGATATATTAGAAACTCGGGAAATAATATACATTACTTTTGAATCTTTTCCAGGTGTAGGAGACCCCGTAATCTATCCCGACCTGCAACGACACATTGCTCCCTACCCGGGCGTCTTATTTTCCGAACTGACTTACTACGACGCGAAACCCACAGACAATTATCCGAACCTCCCAGTTTACGCCAGTCCTTACACAACCAGCTACAATCCTGTATACAGCAGATCTCCTTCCTTGTCACAATATTTCAGACCTTACAATCAAGAATATTTTAATTTTTATGACCTTATTTTGAACTCTGGCATACTTAAACAACTATATCCCCGACTAAGAACACAATACTTAAACCACTTCAGCCGCTTACAAACATCACGATTAGGCCTATATCCTCTCTTAAATGTAAATGGCCTTGTTCAGCAGTTTAACCCTTCCTACAACAGCTTGATCTCGAAGATATATAACAACTTTAAAAATATTCGCAATGGACCAGTGACTGTCTTTGTGCAATCTAAGGAAGACCCTACTAAACTAGATGCTATCGTCATACAGCAAGGTCTCGAGACCCTAGGTAAGTATTAATTTTAAAGTGGGAATACAGGATATTTGGGTATAAACAGCCATGCCAACGTTGGGCGTTAATGAAAGAAAGAATTAGAAGAATGAAGGTAGCAGAAACGAGTTTCCTCAGAGTTGACGTAGTATACAGAACGTAGTGAAAATATTGAAGTTAAATTGGTAATAAAAATTATCAAAATTTCTACCTAAGTACGTAAATTAATTCTACACATAACAATTTAAAGTTTTCTACAACTGCACACATTATTAGTCAGTCTATAAGCATCAGAAAGTCATGCTGCGCTAACTTGCATAAAATACAGCAAAATAGGCCAAATGAGGTAAACCAATAGGAGCCATGTCTGACTGTCATATAATCGTACACTTACGTCTTGCAGAAGTTGTACGGCGACAACCGTAGCCATCTTTGCCTTCCTGATATCGTTAATCCTGGAAAATACATTTTATCCAGTAGACTGTCACAAGGATCACAACTTCAAGAGTCACTTTTAATTCATCAAACAAAGTCCGTTTCTTAACCCTAACCGACCAAACAGTTGCAACCTTTCGAATGGAAGCCATCGTTACTACCACAGTTCCACTACTGAACACTATCACTTCAGTTATAATTTTATAAATCGCGCACTAATGCTGCATTGTTCCATTTTTACTTCACAATCGTAAAATCAGAGTTCCACTGCATAAGTATGGCCATAATTGTACTCCAACACTTTTTACTGACGTCACGTTCTGATGTGAACGGATGAAAGAGGCCAACATAATTAATACACCGGCAACAAAAGATACCCTGCTACTAGACAACTTTCGGCCTGCATGACATTGGCATCACTGATTAATATTACTACCTGTAAAACTTTGACATGCAGAATATAACTATCAATTGTTTTCATCTAATATTATAGTTAGGTTATAACATATAACTCAATTTAATACGCAATCAACGTTTAAAAATATATATAAGCTATTTATTTATTTATTATCACGACATAGTTAAAAACAAGTACTCAGGTCTAGTTAAAAGCACAGTCAAAAAATTGTTTCAATTGGCTACTCTGAAGCAAGTCCTGTTCCAATAGTATATTAGATGATGCTAAAACCGTCACGTGTAAACAATGCCTTTATCTGGTGATTACAGATTTGCATATTAAGTAGTCAACTACAAAAGAAATTTCTCAGAAACTTATGTTTTCATGTACTCATTATCCCATATAAAGCAACATGTCTCATTCTGCTATGTTGAAATTAAAAACAAAGGGCCATAACCCATGTATATAAGCAGGGAAATCATGTCATTTCAAATGATAATAAATTTAAATGTTTTACTGGGGAGGAATGTGATGCAGAAGTAAATGGATGGATTTTTTGACAAGAAGCTTGTGTTTTACTGTAAAAATACAATGTATTGAAACCATGCTCTGATTTTTTTAAGAACACAGCAATGTGAAACTAAATGTAAATTTTTACCCCCTAGGAAAGAGCCGAAACACAGCACCTCTTCTAGAAGCCATTGAAGCCACCACTGGAGTAAAAGCAGCATTCTTGTTCAATCCAATCAACATCCCAGCATCTTCACAAAAAGTATCTGTATCCCGTTACATCATCCCCTCTGGTATGACACTGTCAGAATTTGCAAAACTTGCAGTTCTTGCACCAGACACACCATTTCTACTCATTATTGATGCCAACTCACCTTCTGCCTCAGAAATTAAGGCTTTATACCAAACCTTCAAAATTGGCAAAATTGAGGTGACAGGGGACTCTGTCAATGTGATCCCTCAGTTCCCAGTTCAGACTGGACATTACCAGCCACAGTCCCCAGTTTCTCCCCAATTTCCAGTTCCTACAGGTTCAGTAGAAAGTCCCTTCTCATCAAGCTCTACTTCTTCAGTAGCATCTGGTTCCCAATCTGCATCACAGTATACCCCTCAAAACCCTAACATCAACCAAGCATCATCTTCACCTGCTTCAGATGGCCTTAATGTAAACAGTAACCAAGCTGCACCAACTTCTTCCATTTCATCTTTGTCTGCTGTGTGAGGTTTTAACCACAAACAAAAGAACGTGTGGACAAATATTTCAAACACAACAGGCTGCTTATGAATGAAGTTTTTACAGTGAATCCAGAACAAATATTTTTTGTAAATGACTGTAAATCTACTTAATGTGAACAATAAACCTTTTCTGTTAAAACATATTCATGTTCTACATTTCAACAAATACGTAAGTATTGCATGAAAAAAAATTATCTAGATATTACTAATTTTTCCAACATTAAAATATTAAAAAATGCCACTAGAAACTGTTTTTATATGCAGTCAACACCAAACACTATTTAAAAAATAGCACTTATATACAAACCAGATGTGTCCAAAAAAACTACGTGAGAATCCCAAGTGATGGCAGCCAGACAGCTAAAACTAAAACAAAGCAACAGATTTAATTAATATATTACAATAAGGAATAAATAAGCACATAACTATAATAACTTCAATTGAGCACTTCGGTATGGCAATGCTAAGGAAAACTTTTAAGATTGTACATATGCTGGCTTCTCACTGCAGAGACCTGGACTCAATCCTGTGAGATTCATGATTGATGAAAAGGCATTGGAGTAGATATTTCTCTGATTTGTTCAGTCTTTTACCATACCACCATTGCTCCATACTCATCTCTCACTGTCCCACAAGGCATCTGAAAGACCTAATTCAAGCAGCACATTATAATACCCTCACCTTCAACACTGAAAAACAAAGATGAAATTGTGATACTGCCAAATAACCATACAGCTAACCACAGTGCCACACACAAAAATGTAAACTGCATCCAGTATGCGTATGCCAGAACACACAAACAAAAACTAATCGTTCATAAATTTTTCAAGTATCTGTCATCAAACTATGCATGTGGCATGATTAAAGCCTCACACTTCCAGTTATAGAACCAGCCACCAAAAAGGAAGAGGTTAACAGGAAGTGACAGCAAAAAAGTCTCCAGCTTTGGATGAGTTTGTCTCACACTGAATACTTTTATATTGGTATTTATCTGTTGCACAAACCACAAGCTCTCATTGTGTAGTTCTGCGATACACAAAATTATTAAATCAAGAAATTCATTCCAATACAGAAAATGAAATTTCAAGGGAAATCTAATGTTTCTACTAAAATTAACTAAGTTAATTAAGAACTATACCATCAACACAATATTTTACTACCATATAAAATGCAGAAAATAACAGGCAGTGATCAGATGCAAACTTCATCTTTAGCCACACTCACATCAAAATAAGTATTTTACACATTTTATGTGCTAAAAGAATATTGCTGTGTTGATGTTCTTAGCAGTAATTTAAACAGGGACGTTCTAATATAAATACTTCCTGCTGTTATAAAAGTATATCCAGACCTGGTACCTGTGCTGAGAAAAATTTATAAACATTGCATCCATACAGTTCAGCAATTTTATTTCATGATTTGAAAAAAATTCCAATTAGGACATAGCGTTAAACAATGCTGTGTCCATACCTATGTTATCTTTTGCAAAAAGAAAGTAGAAAATAAGGTAAGACCTATATAACCTTTTCATGAGAGGGGGTGTCTGGCTGATGACATCATCAAGAAAGATTCCCCATGTGATTTCAAGAGTGGCTAAAAATTCCCCACACATGGATTTCTAAGGTAACCATCATAATCAAAGCAGTGTGAGAAATATCACCAAGAGAATTCTCCTGTCATTTCTGCGCACAGAACACATACAGGTCTTAATCTAAAGTGCCTGATTTTAAACAAGAATGGAATGTACTGACAAAATTTAGTTAAATCACAATATAAAATTTCATGAAAATCCATCAGCTGTTCCCAGGTCATTACATGCAAACAGGTGGAAAGATAGATATAACAAATGTAATAGGCACGTCTTTAACTTATAGTTACACACATGCCTAAAACGCTGATGCATGTACGTGTACATTCATCCCAAGCCAATGACGACTGATTTATCGGTCTGAAGATCCCATCAAAAATGGGATATGAGAAATATAATTATTTCAGGTAGAGAATGAAACATGTTGCACAACAGCTTTCAAATAAATTATTCAGGTCCACGCATGCTCTAAGGCAGTGGTAATCAACCTGGGGTACGCGAAGACATCTTAGGGGGTACATGAAATTTAAAAAAATATATATTATTTTATGATAAACACTGAATAATCAGGACCAGATTTAGGGTTAGCCACAGGAGACCCGGACATAAGGACATTCGATTTGGGAGCGCCATTTTCTCTCTCTCTCCTTTATGTGATTCTTATCTGGGTGGCTAGTTTCACTTTACTCCACATAGTGCTTTGAAACCTGACAACACTATTGGGCAGGATTTAAACATATAATTTTGCTTTGTTAAAATACCTTTGTTTCTTTATTAATTTTTATATGATAGGCAATAATATATTTATTTATTAGCTTGATTCTCCTTTTTCTCATTTAAAACATATTATTTAATACATTATTTTGGAAGTAATTTATTTAATTTATTTTAGATGTAGGTTATATATTATGTATAACTTGAATTATACACCAACAACTTTGGGGGTACAAACTTGAAGAGAAATTATATATGGGGGTACAGGTACAAAAAAGGTTGAATACCACTGCTCTAAGGTATATACTGTTACCCTCAGGACATACCTGAATTTGTGATGGCAGTTCTTTACTTAGTGACTACTGCATAACAGTAAATCATGGCCCATGAGGAATGCTGATAAGAGAAAATTATTACCAGCTGATACATGTCATAACACAAAGAAAAACTATACCAATTCCAAAAATTAAATGAAGAAATAATAAAAGTACAAATTTCACCAATGACATATTCTACATGATAATGCAGAGTAAGAAAAATTCTTTACAACACTGTATAATATGGTGAAAACATATTGCGGTAATATCTGGTAGAACTTCCTCACAAGAACTATTAAATATTAATCCAGAATAGAACACATAAAAATCCCTTAATAATTGTGACAAGCCAATAACTTTAACTTCTACTTAATGCACGGATTGATCCTCCAAAGTACAAACTCTTATTATTCTTTTATGACTCAATTAAAAAACCTGCAGCGTACTTCAAGATCACATACAGTACGCCACAGAAGTTAGTTCACTCAGTCTGCCCAGATGTCGAACATTTTCTAGCCAATTATCAAACACTAGAAATTAACTACATGGACACAGTAGCAGTGCATACAAGAACATGACAACTACTTTATTACGATGTTCGACAAGATGTGCATACATTTCTATTTACCATACTTTTCTTCTTAATGACTTGTACATAAATGTAAAAGATTTCACTAAAACTTTACCTAATTACTTTACAATATATTCTATAAGGTATATGGTAGAATTTCCCATAATATACGCTAAACTTCACACTCCCAGAGTATGGTAAATTAAAGAACTCCTGAAAAAGACCAAGCAAAAGCACTAAACAAGGATATTCGATATACTGCTTCCAAAAATTAAAATAGTCCTGACCCAACATTTTGAGTCAAGGAAAAGTCAAAAATATGATCATATGAAACAAAAAAACAAACAAACACTTATTCCCCTTGATTAAGGTTAATACACACACACAATAATCACTTTATAGTTTATTATTAGTAGCGACAGCAGCAGTTATATTAAACTTCTTTCTTTATTATTTCTCGTTATGATAGCAGAGACTTCCGAGAATAACTCAAGCAGTGGTGCCACACGTTTCCTAGTCAATAACTGTTATCTCTTCCTTGATGAAAAATTCAACTACTTCCTCTTCAACATTCTTCGTATCTGAATCCAGCTCATCTGTGTCGATGTCTGGCAATGAAATAAAAAGAAAGACAATTTATAATCATTCTAATATAACACATAAAAGTCATATTTTTTAAACACCAATCTCCAGAACACGTTCTCATGAGTGAAAAGCTAACATGCTAATGACAAAAACACAAATCTTTAAAAAAACTTCATGGCATTTTTTTTTGTATCCAGTACACACTGTTCAGCATGGTGTGCATTGGTGGTTAGCAGGATTCATGACCCATCAGTACATGGGTTTGATCGGGACCGCGACATTTAAGGCTCCTGCTGTGACCCCCTTTTTGCGAGATCATCGCAATGCAACACAGCTTTAATTCAAACTGAACTTTCTTCAGCACATCTGCATCTCAAGACTCTAAATTTTACGTCGCAAATTAATACCTGAATCTCTTATAAAAATCATCTACACGTACTGACAGATAGTTTCACTTACTGTTTCGTAGTTCAAGACGACATGTCTTCTCTTCGTGCCACTGTTCTAGACGCTTTGCTCGATATTCTTGGAATTCCTTCATCAGCTTTGCGCGTTTCTCAATTAGTTCCTACAATGAACAGAACAGTTACCACAGCCATCCTATGAATATGCAAAGAGTTGTACTTCCATGTTCATGAGATGTAATTATTAAGTATATGAAATAATTAACAGATAATGGAATTCAATTAAGATCCAACAAAGTTAATATTCAAAATCTTATTTTTCCACTAAAATGATACCTGGACAATTTCACAAATTTACCAATTTGGCAAGACAAAATAACTGCACTCATATTACATCGAAAAAAGACTAAGAATTAGTTATTCTATACTGTTTTATTGAGCACGCCAGAAAATGTGCGGGGCTATGCAACAATATTTATGAGTGAAGACTGAAGGAATAATGCTCACAGAAGTTTTGTAATCAATACCAAGGGACTTTATTTCTACATTGGATTACGCTACTGAGTAAATATAAGGATTTTATAGTCCTGTAACTGAAACTAAAAAAGCAGTTCTGTTACTCTTATTCAAATACAATTAATTCTATGGAAAGCAAAAACAGACTCCAAGCTTAGTTACTCTTGATATTCATGTTCTCTCAGAAACATTACCTATAAATTTCTTTTTATTTGCCCAGTTTACTGTGAAGTCAGACTGCAAATCTGTATCCACTCTTCCTTTCTAACATTCTGCCGCAGTAATGGTAATGCTCAGAAAAGATTAAGCCATAATTGCCACCACATTTAATGTCTGTGCAAAATTGGTTGCTCATCATTGCACTACAACGCACTGCACAGTTTGTAGAAGTGGACCAATAAATGAAAATAAATCACCAAACCTCATCCCAGTACCAAAATCATCACAACAAAGAAAACATCATACGGATTCATTTTCAAGGGGTGGATCAGAAAGATTTGGGCAAGATTGATAATTTTGAGAGAATTCTTCTGGTTAGTAAAGTATCTTAGAAAATAATCAATATTTAAAAAATGAAGATGCAAGGTTTTGTACCTAAATAAGCGAAATATAGGTAAATACATTCTCTTCACTTACTTTTGATGCTCTGGACTGACGCATACGGTCCTTGCTTTCAAACTGAGCACTATATTTTTTCAAATTCTTCCGAATTTCTTGCTGCTGCTTTGGGATAAGCAATGATTGAAGACGAGGCCGCCACTGAAGTCCACAAAATGTCTCAATATTAAGCCGCTTCAAGATCTTCCCTTGGAACGACCAGATCCAAAAACCTGTATCAACCTGAAATCCACCCACATTACTGAAAACTTGAAATTAACAACACTGCACTACAAAAACACAAACAACTGGAAAAGTATACAACTAAAACCCACTATTACAAGTTCATTACCATGTTTGTAAGATCCCGTTAATAATCCCTATCCTGAGCCAGATAAATCGAATGCATACCCCCAAACCCTATCTAAAATAACATCCATTTAATATTCTCATATGATCTATGACCAGGCCTTCTCAGTGCACTCTACACTCCAGACTTTCAAACCAAAATTTTGTAAGCATTTCTCATTTTCCCAAATATGCTTCAAGCCCCACCCTTCTTGATTTCATCATCTTCATAACATTTTCAGTACCAACAATAATAACATTGTCATGATAATGTTGAAGAACCATTAACCATGTAACACACTTGTAAGTGTGTCTAAATGCTACCAGTCTGGTTACATGCACGTACGTCCTCACCGGGTCTCACTATTCCATCCGATAGACAATAACTCGATTGTTGACAATTCAACCGACTGACCTTAGTTTTCCAGAATGAGACCGCAGTAACCACATATCGTCCAGTGGGATCCCACTCGACATCCGAACAAGCAAAATGCTCCGTAGAGTTCATGATGCTGAAATCATTAGTGTCGACAAACTCCAATGTGCCTCCGAGATTACGTAGGCCAGCCAATACAATAAACTGACCAGATGGTGCCCAAAACAGCGAGTTGCAAGTCTTCTTTTCAAATCGTTCTGTAATATTAAAGTGTTGGTTTATAAAATTACAATACAAAGTGTGCCAGTAGAGGCGTGAAATCAAAAATAGGTCCACCCGATGTAAGACTCCTAACCTCCCTGTGGCACTCTAAAAACATACCCTAGTTACTAGGCCCATAGCAATGCCAATTACACCTACGGGTGTGCTCATGAGCAGAACACGAGTTCATTCTTCAAAAATATTTGTAAAAATATCTTTTGCAGCTGTTCATAAATTTAGCAACAAGCACCTTTACAACTAAGCACCGAACAAGATAACAATATACAACCGAAGCCGTTTCTAAGCCGAGATGTATCATCAAAATAACAACACATAACAAATAGTAGTATCTATCAAAACAAACTAAATTGCAGATTTATAATATAATTAAACCAATAGTGACGTATGGTCGTGAAGCATGGGCCGTGACCGAGCAAATAAAACATAAACTAAAACGATGGGAGAGGAAAATCACGAGGAAAATTTATGGTCCTATTAAAGACCAAAATGGATGGAGAATCTGCAGTAATTTGGAAATTGAGAAATTGTACAACAAACCAAATATTGTAACTTTAAAAGTCAGATAACTTGATTGGGTAGGTCACTTAATCAGAACGGAGAACACCAGGACTGTGAAGAAAATTTTTATGGGAAAACCAGATGGGAGAAGAGATAGAGGGCGGCCCAGGCTGAGTTGGTTGGATTGTGTCGAGAAGGATTTGGAGGAGTTAGGAGTACGGAGATGGAGGAAGAGAGCTGAAGATAGGACCGAATGGGCTATCATATTGAAGGAGGCACTGGCTAAACTTTAAGAGCAAGAAGAAGAAGAAGAAGAAGAAAAAAAGAAGAAATAGTAGTGAAGTTTAACATAAGTTTTATGGACTTATGCCTATGTTAACTATTTATATTCCAAAGAAATCATTGCCACTTACTGAGTAGGGACGGCGTCTGGCCGGTCTTAACTCCGTAGAAGCTGACACTAATATTTGGCCCATCGCCATGGATTATAGCAAACTTGGAACCAACGGGCTCCCAGGCAAATGCATGTATTACTTCTTTTATTTCCACACTGTCCACTGGGATCTGCTTTTCACGCATATGGAAGATCTCAAAATTGTAATACATGCCCTGAAATTAATGATAGGCTGTTAATTAACTATGTAACAATGATCTACGTGGAACAGATAACCACTTAATCCAGTGAGGTGTGCTACATGTCAAAGAATATGTTTTAAAGCTGACAAACTAAACTGTTCTATTTAAATTTCCAAATTCAGAAACAAAAAAAGTTTTGCCCAACAAGTGTATTCTATTCCACTGAAGAGGGTAGGTTTCTCAATCTTATAGTATTTGCCGATCTCCCAAACATGAAGCAGAAGTAGTAACAAACAATACAAAAGCAAGATCTCTTACTGACAGCACAACTTTTTTTTTTTAAGTTTACTATCATTAACTGACAAACTTACACTGTATTTTACTTCATTTTTCTCCTTGCGGATAATTTTGCTGTAGCGATTGACGTTCACACATAGGTAATCCCCAGATTTCTGCCAATGCATCTTGCAATCTGCTACATTGAACAAGTTCTTGGCTCGGATTTCAATACGACTGTAACGAGACACGTGAAAGAGCGTCAGATTATCAACATGCACTACACATTAATAACACCTGAATTACTTCAAGAATGACGATGTTAATAAATTCCCTTTAGGAACACCAAGAGTAAGATGGATAGATAAAGTTATAGATGACAAATTAGAGCAGCAAAAGAGGCATGTTCACAGAACGCAGAACCATGAAGTCATTATTACAGAACATATCCAGATGAATATATCAATATACAATAATTATGATACGATACCCTAAATGCTAAGTATGAAGGGACAGAATGGTGGGAAGACCTAGAGGAAGATGGGAAGATGCTGAGAGACGGGATGCTGACGGTCTGATCCAATGTCAAAATTGGAAAATGGCCACAAATAATAGATCTTTATGGAGGCAGAAAATTGAGGAGGCCAAGGCCCAATATGGGCTGTATAGCCATTGGATGGATGGGTGGATGGATGATACGATACAATATTATTATTGCCTTAGACTCCAGTGTCTGCGCCCATTAAAAAAGAATAAGAGACACAAAGCAAACATTCAAACCACACTGGAAACAAAAGTAGCCTTTTCTTAAGCGACCCATCCACGTACGAGTCTAGCTTGCGAGTCCGGCTCAGCTTGGGTTCCATCGAGCCAAACTCGTTTGTGGGTGGGGTGTCACGAGCCGAGTCTGCTATGCGTGTGTGGAGAAATAAATCCGAGCCCAACTCACGAGTCAAGCTCGCCGAGCCAGACTCGTACGTGGACGGGCCGCTTTAGCCAAAGAACCGACTATGCCATGGAGACCGGCTCAGTGGGCTCAATGCTACAACCAACATTTTGTTCAGGCCGTTGCTTAGAGACTGATATTTTATGCTTGAATTTTAATATGTTCCATCTGTCATCTTGTGCACAGTAATCTCTCTTGCAAGCATTATTTGACTTTTTTTATGAAACTGCTTGGTAGTGCTTTCAGTCTGTTGAAGTAGCTTTACTGATCGAAGGCAAAGAAAATATGAATGTTGTTACCTAGGTATTTCTAACAGCGTAACTCTCGCAGGGACATCCTTATCCTCGGCAACCCAATATGCCAATACATTGTCAGTAGGTGACCAACTGAAATCACGAATCCCTGGGATCTTGACACTCTTCTTTTCAAGCAAACCAAAGGACTGAAAATTTAAAATGACCATAAAACTTTAACAAGCCTGGAGAGGCGTAATCCATAACTGTACAGAGCAAAGATAATAAAAAGCCTGCTACATTAATGGAAGCACTTAAGAGCAAAAGGGATGTTGTTTTTCCCAAAATTCTTTGCTGCTATTAAATAAAGCATTCTGACAACAGGATCAAGAAGATAGAATTTACAATTTAAAATCCACAGTTTTCTCATAGTTATAATTACTTTCAAAATGCAAATGGCTATACATTTTAAGACATGTGCTTCAAATAAGAGAATAAAATTATGTATACTTCCCTGTACATTTAAATTATTTTTGTGCTTCTATGTTTTAATTTGAAGAAATTTTAAGTCAGTAAAATCATGTTTTCCACTAAATTATCTCACTCACTACATGTTTGGTAAAAACTGTCTTCGTGCCTATCAGCTCACCGCGTCTCTCTCTCTCCCCATAAAATTCTGAAGTACAGTGGAACCTCAAACTTCGAACACAATCCGTTCTAGGAGACGGTTCGACTTTCGAGTTAAATTTCCCCATAAGAAATAATGTAAATTGAATTAATCCGTTCCAGACCCCCAAAATGTACCCAATATAAAACATTTTAAGTGCCTATTTCAAAAGATCATATTGGTAAATAATGATAAAACAAGTATATTTCTCTTAGGCTTTTCACCTCTAGAAATTTTCTTTCGTGCCATTATGAATGGGTATTATTAAAGATAACATAAAAATAACTCAAAGAAATAAATACAACGCTTAAAAAACAGACTGAATTTGCGAGATGCTCACTGAACCAGTCACGGGAGAACTAACCAAGCAACTGCGTGTGCGAGCAAGTAGAGAGAGAAAGCGACCTACCACATGATTCTTTGTTCGAGTTTCAAGTTGTTCGAACATCAAACCGTTCAAAGTTTGAGGGTCCACTGTATTAGAATTTATGAAGTGTAATATTATTGTGCTCAGAAAAGATTAAGCCATAAAACATCATCATATGTCAAAAAGTTCTCTCATCCCAGCACAGCTGAACTTTATTACTGACTGTCAGAGAGTAAGAACAAACACACACCGGTGTCTCATAAACACTGAGAACATCTGATCCAATGCGGGCAAAGAATCTATCATCCTGTGACCAGCGGAAGATGGGCCATACTGCCGGTCCATCTGCAGAGAAGTGTCTTTTCTCGATACCAGTACGAATGTCCCAGATAATAAGTCTCTTCATATCACTTGGGTGATCATCAGCGTGTGGGGAGTAGGTCACCATATATCTAGAAAACAAAGTCAAAATTCAGCCATCTTTCAAATACACATTCCTGTTTATGCAGGGTAAACAGGCAACGAAAACAAACATCCGTCATACACGTTCTATTGTCAGCATTCAGAAACGGAACGATAATTTCAATGAAGATCAATGGAATATGCACAGTATTCGGTCCATGGCCTCCTCAATTCTCTTCTTCCATTCGGTCCTTCTGTTAGGTCCGTCTGTCCGAGGCTTTCATTGAGGTTTCGAAACATCTTCCTTTTTACGGTGCAAGGTTGTTAGCCTTGCGACCAACCCCCAACCTGGAGGACCAGGGTACCTGTCTTAGTCTGACCTCTCCCCCTCGACCAATCTGGCTTGAGAGGCCCTACCAGTAGCTCTTGGGGTCACTGAGGTACTCAAGCCCCACCACCACGACAAGGTGCAGGTACCATTAAGTGGGGCCTGAGAACTTTTATGTTCATAGAAATTCAAAATTTATAACAATTTCATATAATGACACAGTTATGTAAATAATTTATAAGCTTCTGCATATTTTTTCCTAATAGGAACTTTATACAGAAACTTATTACAAACACAGGACGTTAAAAATGGTTATTTGATGCTGACAGAACACTGTGCTGGCTGATACTACCTACACTACACAAGAGTTCAATACAGCAACTTTCTTGGTTCTAACACATTGAAATGTTAATTCAGTTAGTTACAGTAACCATTTAATTTCAGATTGATTAACCATAATTTAGTAAACAGATTATGTAGTATGAAATGGAAGGGATAATGAAGTGACTGTGCACAGCATTTGAATGGAGGGACTGATGAAAACCATGAAAATAAATTAAAATTGTCAGTCTCCAGCCAAAGGTTCAGACCCAGAACCTCTGAAAATACAACATTTAACTCGAATGTACAACAAAACCAGTATTATTTCCAAGAAACTGTAATTCCCATGTGAATAAATTTCAGTATAATTAAAAATCTTCACACAAGATGGGGAATGACAATAATTTCATAACATTTCCATTCTAATTAAAATAATGCTCATTATACTAATATTTTACTGTACAGCACACACAAGATACTTTGTGAAGTTCATTCATCATTTCTTGAACTATGGCTTACGTACGTACTACTACTAAAATTAATAAGGGTACGTACTTTTCACACGGCGAAAAGTCAATAAACTGTACACCGACATGAGAGAATCTCATCTTCTGGCTGAACTTAACTCCACCCCACAGAGCAACTCCTTTCTTGTGGAATGTAGCGAGATAAGAACCAAGAGGTGACCACCGTACATACGTTTCAGACCATCTCTATATAAGAAAAACATAGCGCACTTTGAAATATCAACATCACCCATTCAATACGATTTACCTTTCCAGTGTAAAATCATTATCCAATCAGGATTTTGGAAGCAATTCAAAAAATAAGTATCATTTATACTGTTTGTATCTATTGCTCCGAGGCACTGTCTGGTCTCTGCCCACCTAGGCAAAGTTTTAGAACTAATTTCTCAGGTGGAAGCATTTGTAGGGCAGATTCTGTTACTCTCAATGATAGGGTGATCATGAAGATGGTGGTCAACAGAGCAGACTCATAGTTTAATGTGGATTCTACTACATGACTGGGGCCTGGTATTCTTTACATTCACATCATGCAAAAATGAAGGCTAGCTTCTAAGCAGAAAATTCCATACATTGACGTGACCTGGCACCAAACCCAGAACTCCAAGAATGAGAGCCAATTATCTTAACCTGAAATCACCAGGTACCTTTACTAAGAAATATTTTATAGGGATTCTACTGCATAATTTTTCGCTTTGACCTAATATTAAACTTCACCGAACACCAAACTCAAACTACTGGCACATCCCTATTCTGAACACCCGCCACATCATTAAAAATGTTATTATTCGGTGAGAACCATAAAACTGATGAATTACTCAGAATTTGAGTAACTGTCCTCAATCTCACCGCTCGTTCTTCAAGCTTTGTTGGATCGGGGGCAGTGTTCTGCCATATCTGAACGTTGCTGCCTCCGCCTGTGACGATATAGTACTGGTCATAAGCATCTTGATCCAGCATGTAGTAGTGGAGATTGCCCTGATCCACATACGGCTGTGGTTCAGGAGGCTCCCACTCATCCGGTACCTCTTCATATCTTATTACAAAGAAAATTCAACAGAAACTGGTAATTAAGCTATGTGTCATTCACGAGGTTTGCCTGATTTTAAAAAGAAAATATATTGTAAAAAATTAAACTTCAAATAAATAAAACTAATAATATAGATACTCTCTTCATCCTTGAATACAATTAAGAAATCCACAGAAAGATCTTTTACTTAAGTCCTTACTTACTTCTTGAAATCTGTAAAAAGGTTCACAAGAAAAGTGTGCTGCCGATCAAGCTTATGGTTATTTGCCAACTTGACAGCCTCTTGAGCATGTTTAGGGTTGCTATATTCCAAGAATATGTATCTGAAACAAAATACAATAATTCACATCACATACAATCACAGATTTTGACAAAAAAAAAATCAATCCTTATTCATTACAAGTACCACCTTAACTATAACAATTTCCTCTTAATTTTGCATGCCCATGTGAGTAGCAACACACAGCTCATGTATAACAGACGGTTATTCTGTGGGGCACTGCGCACACATGCGGCTAAACATGAATACTGAGAGGCAAAAGAAGTTTGAAATTGGGCCAGCGGTAGAATATACATCTGCAGAAATTGTATAAGAGTAATTTACAGACATAATAATCACTCCTTTTGAAATATATTTTTACAGTTTATTAAACATATGGTTATATTACAGTATGCCATAAATTTATTTGCAAATTAATTCCTTATTACACCACAGCAAGCAAGTGTAGTGCACTAAAGTTTATGTGAATGGAAACTCTCAGACAACCAATGGTCTTATTCTTTCATGACTCATACAGAAATTCCATCAATTATTACCATCTTTAAACATGCTGGGTTTCTTTCTTTTTGCTGTGCAATCATGGGACACCTGTAACTTATTCAGCACTTTTATTACATATTCTTACCCTTTGGTTTGCCCATTTTCATTTGTAGGGTAATACTCATTAACAATAGTTCCAAACTTTGAAAATATCTTGTTAATAACAGTTGTCAGCTTCTCTAGACGTTCAGGTCCAACCTGTGGCACTCCATCCACCACAATTACTGATTCAACCCCATCAGTTTCGCGAGGCTTCTGTTTTAGAAGGTCACCAAGGAGTTCTACAAGTATAGAAAACCTGACCAATCACAGAAATGAAAATAACAAAGAAATATTTCCACAATAAAATGTTTGTGTGTAAGAACTGTACAATGGTTCCATATAGGGTTATATACTAAATAAGATCATTGTGAAAGACGCCTATTACGTGACTTACAAAACCACACCATGAATATCTTCAGAAAATTGTGGAATGTAATTACTTTGGGAAGGAAAGGCATAAGTATATCGCTTTGGCAGTGATGTGGTCACAAACTACGGACCCCGGAGATTGCATACATACGGCGTACGCAACTCCGGCAGTACTTTGAGCAAGGCAAACCGAACCTTAAAATGTTTTGCCCACTGGCTCTACTTCTGTCACCGGATAAATGATTCTCATTAAACTAACATATGCATTTTTGCCTTAGAAATAAGTCACTATGTTTGGAATTGAAACCGGCATCCATGCAACACGCTAACCATTGCCTTTGTGAATACACCATATGCAATTCCAACGTTACAAGAACAAAATATACATAAATTACCTTCATCGGATATATTGTCAACAAATCCTTCAGCATCACTAAAGTTCGGTTCTTCGTCATTATTTTCATTCTTATCCTGCTTATTTAGTTCGTTATTTGGAGAAGACTTCTCCGATTCTTTTTTCTTCGCCATCTTGGAACCTGCGGCACGTTGCGCATATTTAGCACAAGCCTTAACACGGAAGTAGCAATGTTGGAATTATCTGTGCAAAGCACAGACATTAGTTTTTGTAGTTGACGTACGAAGCGCTAAACTCACACGTTGATATCTGATATATCATATAGGTTCTAAGATGAAAAATTAAGACTGCACGATGGCCCACCCCAAACTAATCATAAATTTCTAGTTTATACTCATGATACTTCCTAGGGTTAAAAAACCACATAAATTTCAAAATTGGAACAAAACGTTGACAGTGGAACCACGGTTCCGGAGAATCTGACGTAGATACGTCTCTGTAATGTAATGAAATGTAATAATTCTTATATAAGTACTTGTGATATTCCAAAACGTTTTTACCAGCACAAAATTATCTAGTCTACGACGCACTACTTCTACAAGCGATTCACAGCTCATCCCTTTCCGCAATAACGAAAGCGGATTGTTGACGGCAGTAATGTAACACAATGCCCAGTAAACCGATGACGTAACAATTAGATTCCTAGGTAAAGGAGTAAAGCATTGTTATGCATGCAGCTGACCAATGTCGGTCCATATTTACACATTTTTGGTATGGATCTTACACATTTTCCTAACGCTGTTTTGCCGAATGACCCTTCCGTACAGACGTATTTACGTCAAAAACAGACTCTACTCTTGTAATCAAATACAACTTATGCTCATTATTAGGCATAAAAAAACAGAAGTCTGCTATCAGGCCATCGCTGTAAATACAACTGATTCATGACAATATTTGCTCTATTCAGGGTTTTATATTTCTCTTACTATTAATAAAATTAGTGTAACCATGAATTGTGCATTAAAAATTCATTGGGAAAATTCTTCCAGCCTATTGTTTGTTTTGCAACTCATTTACAAGCGTAAGTGGAATTAAGAAACAATACTGAACGCGATTAGCCAGATCAACTTACCACGGAGTTTGACAACTAAATGCAACACATTAGCCCACAGGTACTGTGCACTACTAGGTACATGAGATTTTATTTCAGAACATTTCTGTACAAACAAATATGTATGACAATATTTTATAATTTCCTTTCTCTAAATGCAAAATTCACTTTAATTCAATATGTATCATCTCCTACCTCTGAAATATTATAAAGTAACACTTCAAACACCCAAACTCAAGCACACATAACCACTTTTCAGCAAAGTAATCCCTTTACAACATTTCACATCATTATCAATCATAAGAACTGGAAATTTCCTTTCTTTCGACAGTGTTGAAATGAAGGTAAACAACCCTCCCTCTGAAGATGCCTGTCTTCTGAGGTGTTGCATCATGTAGTCTGGCAGAAGTTTACTGACATTTCAGATGTTGTTGTTGCCTACCTCATCATGGCGAGTAATCCACATGTGAAGCACAGGAACCAGTCAGTCAATGCAGAACCTTGGCCAGACCAGTGGGTAATGGGGTGTGCATTGGGTGAGGGCAACGATTCCTCACAAAGGAACTGCATTAAGCTTCTTTTAATCAAATTATTGTTCCTGTATATTAAAGTGTCAGTTATGTTAATTTATCCTTATCGTCTTCTACGCAAGGTACGATGAAGATACGGAGCAAGTTCTTTTAACATAATCATTTCATTGACATTGCATGCTCTCTACAACTCACAATTTTTAGCATTTTTAGTGAAATAATTATGGTGTCAAAACCACGAACTGTTCAGGACAGATGTCCAGTCTTTTTAAGATATTTTTATTGGACTTGGTGCCAAAAATATTTTTCATTCCTTAAACACTGTCACACAATATACATTTAAACTGTTAGTTTTTCTACAATTTTTAGCATAAAGCTAAACATGATGTATTGTGGAATGAAAATGTAAATGCATATTTTCTCAGTATATAACAGAAAATTGCAAACATACAAAATCAACATCCCTGTAACATTTAATAGTACATGTTTAAGTTCCTTTCATCAAAGCATCAAACTAGTGTGAAACAGACATACAGAAGTGAAAACAGACATGATCAACAGCCCAAGAAAATTGAAAATTAAAGTATACGTTAAATAAACATGGGGACATACAACATAGGGAAGAAACCAAATGAGATAAAATATATAACACAAGTGGGAAAGAATGTACAGATACAAAACAAAGAAAATGGAGAGAGTTTTATCATAGTATTACCCATTCTCACAGAAATAGAAATGAATTATGACGATGACGATAAAAATAACAATCGCAGTCTTAAATACCATATATACATCTCATATAGAGGAAAATATAACTAAAAAAACAAATATTTATTATTTTCAAGCATTCAAAAACAATACAATGGAAAAATGCAAGTGTATTCCCGATATGTTAATTAAATATATTTGTTGTATATGTTATAAGTTGCATATAGTTCAGAGAGGAACAGGAAACCAGAAAAACAAGATTTCTCTTGCCAACTATTCCACACTCTCATGCTCTTCCAAGTGTTTCTAAGCTACTCAATTCTTATTTTACTGGGTCTTTCCGACATACTTCAAAGATGGAAAAGAAACTGCAAAGAATGTATGTCAACTGGAATAATCCAGACAACTCCACCAGATAGGGAGGTAGGAGTTCAACTGATGTCGGAAGTCGCTTTGCAAAAACCTTATAAACAGACAGCAAATAAGGTGACCACACCACATTATAACAATTAAAATCATTCAATGCAAAGCAGTTAAAGATGTAAATTATCTTTGCTACAACTCATCAGAAATTCATTTTCTAATATAAAGGGAATTTTAACCTCAGACTTCATTCATGTTAATTTGTAATCTACATCTCAAAATGTATATCACATAAAGCTGGATAAACTGTATATTTAGGGTTGATAATTTGAAGTAACGTCTACAAAACTTTAGGACAGAACTCACAAAAAACAATCAAACCAAACTAGTATCACAAAAATATAACTACAACAAAGCTTCTCTCCATAATGTCACTTTGAATAATCTTCAAGATGCATATATTATCTTCATAAGTTATCACATTAAAAAATACTGAAAATAAAATGCCACAGATTTTTGAAAATCAACACATGACTACTTAAAATGATTATATGATGAATATTTTACAGCACTTCAAGCTATATAATTGCAAAAATGCTGTATTATGCTACCAGTAATATCACATTCCATCACTCCAAAACAAGTAACTACCAATCAGAATACACTTGCCTTCTTAATTCATTGGACCATACTTGCGACTCGGTGACCACGAACCGCCAGGTTCTGGAATATCAGAACGGTTCACTGTAGTGGACATAGATTCTCGAAGCCTCTCTCTAAATGTCTTGTATTCCATGTCATTTACTTGTCCAAAATCAAAATCTGCTACTTCTATTATGTACCTGTATGAGACCAAAAGATATACTGAAAAGATTCACATAATCACAGACTACAAAATTACATAACAGTTCACACGCTACAAATACAACTAACTGCAAAGTTCTAACACCACTAGTACCAATACATGCCACTGGACACAATGTCTAGTCTTATCCATTCACCTTGCACCCTCATAACCTATCTTAATGGCAATTTCAAGATCATTCATGTGGAAATTTTCCAAGCTCAGTCAGTATAGTGACTAGCTATGGGCTGGCCGGCCGGGGTTCGATCCCCGGCGGGGGCCGAGGATTTTTCCTCTAGCCTCTGCGTCCCGACCGGCTCTGGGGCCCCCCCAGCCTCCTCTACAATGGGTACCGGGGTCCTTTCCCGGGGGTAAAGCCGGCCGGGGCCTGATGCTGACCACTCACCCCAAACGCCTACATGACGTATAGTGGGACAAACCTTACTTTACTTTTACTCGTAAGCTTATTGTTACTAGGCCCACTAATTCCATGAAGCAGAGTCCTTCTTCAGAAGCTAACAGCCCCATCTAGTGCCGAGGTCAAGAATGAGTAGGAGCTATACCTCCACTCCCCCCAAGCGCCTACATGGCGTACAGTGGGACAGCTTTTACTTCGCCAGAAATTCAGTTTGCCTTCCTTGTCTCTGCCACCCTAGACATATGCCCTGGCAGATTACACTATCCTAATAATAATAATTTCAAGTTTAAATTTTTATTCCAAAAAATAACAAAATATGTATATGCCATCATTAAAACTGTTTGAAACAATAATTTTGTTAAAATGAATGACAGGTCTTTGGCTTTAAATTTATAAAACTTGGCTAGAAAATACTTGAATCTACAAGAAGCAAAACAACTTATCAACAAACAGTGTTTCCTTCTTCATATGATGTGGATTTTCATCAGAAATCAAACTGCCTCAAAACATCAAACTCACTCACAGGCTGACTGCCAGCGACTGATGCTCTCTGCGGGCGGGAAAAAATTCACGCATGCGCATGAAGGTCCCCTACACCCCCCCACCGGAGGACACCTCCCGTGCTTCATTTGTTTCCGTGGAAAAAATTAAGGTGCGATACATTTTGAACAGACCTCATACATGCTCACACACAAATGGTGTACGTAACACTTGCCTGTTTTTGCTCTGGACATAGTACGCTATGCCAAACACAATGAGAATCACAGCAATAAGACTGCAGGATACTGGCACCACTATTACGGACAGCTGAGCATGTTTTGTAACTGCAACAACAACAAAAAAGTGCTTCATTCTGGACTGAATATGGAACATTGCAACTAGGGCACCCAGTGAAGCAATGTGATCTGGTACAAGCCCAAGCCCACAGAATCTTCATACACTTCAAAGAAAGTTGTTTTTCAAGGTCCCCTTGGGTCAGACAATCCTCATGATTGGGCAAATGAAATCTGTTTCACAGTTTTACCATTCTCCCTATACACTTACACCATATAGATCCTCATTAACTACATAGTTCTTCGATTCACTACAGGATGGTGACAATGACTGATTTTTTTCGGGGGGTTTATCAATCCTAGGATTGGTTTGCAACCCCATTTCAGGGTTGTTTCTTGCGAAGATACCACGGTGGTTTCGCCTTGCCTTCCGTGACCAGTGTTTATCCATCAGACTGGAAGAGAAAGGACGCGGACAAACATCCATGCCTCGAGTGGGACTCGAACCCACGGTCCCAGTGGCCAGGCCCCTGCCTCAGACCACGTGGCCACCGATTCATTATACAAATTATAGGTTGGACACTGTCTGAGGTATTATATTCTATATGCAATATTTCAGGAGCTGACTCTCTTTGTGGCGTTAGGCAACCAGTTGTCATTACACTGACAAAATGGTATTATTTTTTTATTTTCATACTGGAGGCAATGGTCCCAGGTTTAATCCCAACCATCATTAGTAATATAAAAATAAAATCAATCACGTGAGGATGTGAACACAGCCAACTTCTGAAATGTCATGTACAGGTTATTTTAAACATACCTCAGGCGATTGGTGACATAATATTAATATATTACATAATTCTTTGTTGAAATTAAAGTTACCTTTGAATAAAATAATTTCATTTTCTTTTACAAAAACTGTAAAATTATATAATTTGATAATGTGTTGAAGTTCATAAATTCACTGTCATAGTTACCCGTTGTCCTAAAAACATATTTGATTAGCAAAAGAAAGTACCCATGTGATTTTTTGTACCCAAGGTAAAGCCTGCTTCTTCCATATTCTCAGGTGATCAACATGTGCAACGAATAAACTCAGACTGATGTAGTATCCCAGACATAATATTAAATTTTTGGTATTAGAATCAGAAATGAAAGATCCTTGAATGTATATTATGCATTAAGATGTAAAATGAAACACTCTAGAAAAATTATATCAATATATAACCAACTTGCTTAAATTAATAACATGATTACAGACAAGGACAATAGGAGAATCTCACCTTCGTAGATGTTAATTCCAACTTTTGTTACAACCTTGGACACATCATTTTTGATAATGATTAAAACAGTATACTGCGATGGTTCACGAAAATAATGCACTACTTCAAATCGGCAGTCTGGTCTTGTAGCAAAATATGTACAAGTCTCGTTGCCTGCAAAAAAGAATACGAAGTTTAAAAAGTCTGAAAATGATAGCTACAGGTTCAGATCTAGACTTACGCTTTTGTATCTACGAGACCTTCGAATAAAATAAAAATAAAACAGATACAACAACAAATAATTTTAATGTTGCAGTACTTTTGTCTTCTTCATTTTTTGAGGTTTAGAACACTCCTAAATCAGATTTACGATCTTATTATGATATCAAGTCATAATGCTGCCAGAAAAAATGAGTTCCAGTACACATACGACACTTTGCAATTCCATTCCTCTAAGCTGATATTTCAAACTGCATACAAGGAAATAAGGAAACTTACCTGTGACATTGTATGAGCCAGGTAAGATTCTAATGCAGTATTCAAATATCGCAGAGCCATTGCAATACACTTGAAGATTCAACATATCGCCATGCTGCAGCCAATTTGTGCCCAACACAGAAACATTTTCCACTGGAGCTGCAGTATTAAAATACACCAAAATTCAGTTTCATAAACACAGAATAAACATAATAAGTTTAACGGATGCCCTGTAATGAAATGCATGGAATATATTCCTATACACTTTTCACAACTCATTGCCAATTTCTTTGCAGAAATAAATCTACTGTTGTAAAGAATATATCACTCTGCACAGTCAAAGATTATAACAGACCAATATGTACCAAAATTAAAAACAAGAAGTCTGCTGACTGGTCATGTGTCCAAATTTAACGCATCACAAAGTAATATGATCAATAAATTCTTTAAATGGCCAAACTGTTAATTGATTGAGCAATCTCACATTAGACTTCAGCTATCCAATCTTAATTTTCTCTCAACCTTTCAACAGTAGATAATTCTACGAAACGTAAAATAGTGCAGACTTGTATATTGTCAAACAGGAGGGACAGATGTGTACTACTAGGTTTTAAATAGCTAAATCAACGTTAATAAGATCTTTGGTGCGTTTTTCTGTGATGTGCTGTCCTGTGTACAGGTAGAGGCCTTGCGACGGGCCGATCCCTCGTCCAGGGTGTCCTACCGAATGTCTATAGATCAAGCCAACAAAAAAGTTGGGACCCGCAGTGCTCAGGCACTTGAAGAACGGGTCATTCCCAGTATCCAGTATGATAACACACATTAATGTCAAAATTAATGTGTATTATCTTACTGGATACACACAATGGAATGGCGATAGATTTTGTTTTACGTTATAATCATCTCTTACAATTATAAATACTTTCATTAGGAAAGATGGCCCGAGTTCATCGAAGTTGATGTTGTTCTTCTGTGTTGTAACGCAGTGTGGACTTGTAGATACAAATATTTTGGAGAAACACAGTCTCTGTTCTCAGCCCTGAAGATGGAGATGGTATGTTTCTCTGAAATGCAGGTATCTACTTTCTACATGGCATTACAACTCAGAAGATATCTTCACAGCCATGAGAACCTCAAATTTCATACGAGTTCTTACCTCTGACAACAAGTCGCCTATGGAAGTAGCCGTAAGTTTTGTTTGGATCAGGAGGTATGATGGATGAATTCAGGCACACATAAGGAACAAAAACTGTGTTGTTTTTCAGTGTTTCATTATGCGTGTTAACTGCGGGAAGTATAAGTGGCATGTTCTGAACATGAGATATATGCATGGCGTTGATCTCATTGGAATTTATTTGAAATGAAATATTTTTTGGAGCCACAGTAGAAGTAGTTGTTGCTGCCGAGGTAGAAGGAAGAACAGTGCTACTAGTTGGTATGACTGTAATAGTGGTTTTCGTTGATGGTGTTGTAGCAGAAGTGGTATTAGGGGAAACAGTTGGCGGAGTAGGGGTAGTACTTGTGGTTGTTGTGGTTGTGGATGGAGGTTCATATGAGGCTATTATGAGTGCCTCAACATTATGTATTTTTCCAGGCTGAGTATAGCTGAAGTTGAATTCATATCCCGGTGTCTGGCCGTAGAAAGTGCAGTCCACAAACCAGTATGTCAAAATGCTTGTAGCACTCTGCGTAAGGAATGCACTATCTGCCTCCGTCAGATCAACGCGATGAGTCACTTGCTCCTTACTAGATACAAGACCAGTTTCCCTCAGATGGCCTGACTGTAGCAACGACATTTGCCCATTAAGCAGAGCTACAAAAAACAAAAAACGTTCAAAGTTATTATACTGATTAATCCATATCCACATGTATGTGTGCGCAAAAACAATTGGTATTTCAACAGGTAATACCATCACATTTGCCAGTAACCTCCTGATGCAACAAGAAACAGGCGTTTCCCCAAACATTATTAAAAAATTACACCAACTGCAAGCCTAGTGCGTATGGCTTCCACCTTTACTGTGATAAAAAAATTTCTTCATTTTGTTTGACTAAATTGTCTAGGTATGATGACAGACACTGAGGGTCCTGAACAGTGAAGTTTAGTTGACTGTCGCTAGGTATGATGACAGACACTGAGGGTCATGAAGAGTGAAGTTTAGTTGATTGTCATTAAGGAATCCTCAGGCTATAGCTTCTGCTAAACAGTACTTTTAGAAAGAAAGAAGTTAATCACCTGATCTGAGTAAAGAATTCAGTCTTAGAACTGAATAAGAAGTTGGTTAACTAAACTGAGTACAGAATTTAGGTTTATAACTAAATTAGAAATAGGTTACCAATCTAAGGGAAACATTTAAATTTAGAACTAAATGGTGGAAGTGCCAAACTATTCCATGCTCACTCTTTTGGCTCATTCGCAACACTGGCACACACTACAATGAATAAAATGCTATTCACTGCATGGTGATTCATAAAAATGGTTCACAACCATAGTAATCCTCTCAGACTTTAATTTTGTAGAATAAGTAACATTAAGCTAAAAACATAACCTGCTTCCAAGAATAATAATAATAAGAAGCTGCAAACTTCAGAATGTGCAGTAATATAAATCAGAATGAAGAGAGATGTCACATTTATACACTAAATATTTATATTCATTTCATTACCTGTAATATTAAAATTGATTCTCTGGCTACAAATAGGCCAATAGAAAATCACGTATTTGTCAACTATAACTTCAACTTCATAAGGTCCTGGGGCATATGTATGTGCTGGATATGACACATTCCAGAATGCTATTGTCTCTGGTCCCTCACTCTGCAAAATAGTAACAGAATGATTAGGGTCGAAGCAAAAAAGGTATGACAGCATGAAGTCCACAAATCTGGAACAGCTATAATATACCATATTATGATCTGATTTAATGTTTTATTTACACTTATTAGATAGGCAAGAACAACTACAATGTACCTGGCTTCATAACCGGTCATTAAATTATTTTCTTTCATTTGTTTATTAAAATAGTACTGCAGTACACAACTTACAAGACAAATAATAGATGATTTTAAAAATGAAGTTATAACAATTTTATAATTACAACAAACATTTTGTCCATAAATTAATGTTAAACCATTTTTTCTGAAAGTGTAAGTTACAATTACAATACAGTATAATAATAATAATAATACTGAACCATATGATTTAAACTTTTACTGTGTTCAGTGTAGGATAGCATTCAAACAAATAAGGCCATGTATTGCATATTCGTATCTGTATGTACTCATTAAGAATTGTTGCCTATCAGTGGATGCCAAACAGTGAAACGCAAGTTTCATAATCAGTCAATTCAAATGATCAAATGTATGATCATAATAAATGACAGGTTCATGATTCTAGAAACATTTATGTACTGACAATCATACTTCCTTGTCCAGGATGTGCTATGGATGTGTAAGCCAGTGTAAATGAAAGTTAAAACTAAAAATAATGAGGTAGCTAACCACACTAGTATGCTGGGATATTGCATTGTCTCGCCAGTGAAAACGAAATGATCCTGAGGGTGGTGTTCCATAAGAAGTAAATAATTCTGCCTTAAATGTGATATTTGCACCCAATACCACTGGCCCGTTGCTGGAAAGTGTTACAAAAGCGCTCTCACCTGGAAATAGAATTAGCATTAGCATAGTAAACGACACACGATTTTGTATACTTCCTGCTTATGGCATTTCAGTTGTTTTACAAACTGTAAATTATACAAAATTGTTTAAAATAACTTACCAGTGCATACATTACACAGAAAACCTAAAAGGAATAAACATATTCTAACACCTATCATTGTAATTCTATCTCACAAAACATATCGCCACAAAACCTGCAATATATACCACGGCTTGCCAACTTCTGTAAACCGTGTACCCCTCGGAACGCGGAAAGTGTCAAAGGAAAGTTGGCAAAACGTTCGTCAGTGACATCTTTGAGCTGAGAGGCTTTGCTTGAACTCATTAACATAAATCAAACAAATATCGCCAGTCGGCTTGTCGTAACCATGGAAAAGTAATGAATGGTCGAACTTTTTTCTAGTAATCTGAATTATTATATTAATGCAACCAGAATTGGGTACAACCAAATAAAAACTATAGAGGTTATGTGTGCTTGTACTTCTTGATGGAACAGTACGAACGTAGAAACAGTTGGCAACCATGGATATATTTGGGGCGGGTGTTTAGTCTGGTGGAGTCGGGCTGTTCCAATAATGATGATGCTTTTATTTATTAATTTGAAGATACTGTGAACGTTAGAGAAATTTCTTACAGCGTAGGTAGCGGTGTCTTTTGGTATTGATTTGAAGAGGTGGTTGGACCTAGGAAAATGGAAGTTTAGCTCCATGCATTCTTAACCTTGGCACAATATGGAGATGACTGATGAGCATACCCTTGGGTAAAGAACTCCTGGTACATTGGATCAGAGAATATTACTTCAATTATTCAATATGAAAATGAAGTACTGATAAACAAAACCATTTTTTGTCGGTACACTGAATTATCAGGATTTCAATGTTTAAGTACAATGGGAGAACTGAATTCATAACACAACATGATAACCACTGTGTTCTGTGTAGACAGTGGTTCCAAATAATTTCCAAAACAATACTTTTTTTTAGCCATAGCTTCCTTCATGAATATTTTCATCATAGAAATAAAGAAAAAACAGTTCTCTATTACAAAGTATAAAGTGGGTGGAATAAAATACATTGTTTGTATGAAAGGACTGGGAGAAGAAAGAGGGCTTTCCAGATGCAAAGACAGAATGACTGATAAACTGCTTCATATTTTAAAGCCTTTATTCCTGCAAGAAAGGCTCTTCTTCTTTGTCTTCTTCAGCAACATTGATTAGTCCTTCAAGATGTGTTCCACCATAAGGAAAAATAATGTCTCAATGGAGTCTTCAATCATCTTCTGTATCTACCTGATTCTCTATTTCCTTTTGGTATATATCATCAGTAGGAAACATTTTGGAAGTCTTTCAGTAGCCATTCCAGTGATGTTTTCTCACCAGTTTATTTTCTGTTGTTCTGTTTCTTCTGTCAGACTCCATATATTAAGCAGTTGTCTAATTAAAAAAATCACTGATGTAAATTTGTTGAGACTAACTGAAGGAATTACTAAATGAAAATTAATGAGATGTTCTATTAATACTGTAGCCATTAAGGAAACTTCTAGAATAAGGATGAATATGAGGACCTATAAATAGATTTATAAAGATGTGTTAAAATAATATTAAATGTCATTACATACGCATTGTGAAAAATATGAAGGACAGAAGACACAGGATGATAAATAACATAATCATTTCTACTTATTTATTTGAGGTATAAATTGAAAGGGAATGTATTTTTAGTTACAACTTCTTCATTTTTTTCTTTATAAGTATCTTTTTATAATTTGTAACATACATTTTTCATATAATATTCAAAGTTTTTTACTTACATTTCCTTAGTGTGTTATATAGGATTTTCACCCGGTTGATGTCTATTCTTTTTACCTCTGCAAGAAAAGTTTCACATAATACACTTTTTAGTCAGCACCTTAACTTTGTGCGCTTTACTGTCAGACTATAACTCTTTACATTCTTCATGTTTCAAAGGGGTCACAATATTATTTTCAGCAACAGAACTGTGAGCATGAACAGTTTTTACTTTTGCCCAATTTCAGTTGTCCCACAAAGCAGAACACTATTTTACTCACAAACGTGTGGAACTTAATATTCTTATTATTATTCTCGATTGTCAACATTACAGCAAACTATTTCTTTCACCATGAAAACTGGAGATCTTTCAATAATTTGCAAGAAACAGGTCACTCAGAGGCAGTATTTATACAAACAGATACAGTTTCAGAATTTGATGTATGTAATAAACTACTGGAATTAAAAGCCTTCTTCATAACCTAAAACTAATTTCTGCATATAAAAATTCTCATAATCATTATCATTTGATCTTATTCTGTTTTCATATTGAAATATTTTGAGCAAAGCACATTTCTGTACCTCTTGGTGATCAGAGTTGGGTCATCATGATCAAGACGATTCATATCAATTAAAAAGAGACAGTAGTCATGATAATTTCAAAACTGAAATGGTTAAATTAAGAAAGAATGTTGATAATTTGTTGAATTATTTACCACCATGTCTTGGAGATGACAGAAATGAGAATTAAAATAATGAATTTTCATAAATTTTATAAAATATAAAAGTATACAAGTAAATCAGCACATTGCAATCAATTTGTCTGTTTTGTGTGGAAAACTTTATTTTAAAGTTAAAGTTTTCATTGTAACCTATGTTCCAATTTGACAGACAGCTTGTGTAAATTGTTTCTTGGGAAGAATTAAAAGAAAATAACTCCAGCTTTACTTTGCAGTTTATAAACAGTTATTTGTTACCTAATCTGTAAACTGAAACAATGGTTGCTTGTACAGTTAATGTGGGTTATTGGTAACCTGAAAAATTACTTACCATGGCAGCATTCTTAAGGTACAACTTAACCATGCCTGTGAATCCTGTGACTTGTGGATTCTAACCTTTCAGCCTATGAATAGTTTCATTTAAAAAATACGCTCATAACTTTATTAATTATTCTCTTACTGCAACAAACTTTGTAATCTTGGGTTACACAATCACTTTGCAGAGTGGGTATCTCAGATTTGGACTTTGTCTGAACACCTAACCTCAAAAAAAAAGCATGTGGTGAGTGAGGGCAGGATGAATTCCAAAATGTCAAGTAGGCATAGCCTATTCAATACAAGGAATTTCCAAATATGAGGAAATAGGAATTCTTTGTCTGCTCCTAACTTACTATCCTTCAAGGAATATTTTATGAAGATCCAGTGTTGGTAACTTTGTAGAGGTCCACCACTAGCCTACCTTGGGCTAAAAAATGTGTACAAATGTGATACCTATGCAAGTGTTCTATTTGTGTAAAATGTTTAATGAAACCATTAGAAAACGTATATTTCCTTTTGCACGGTCTTGGTAGGTGGAAAATTTCTTTGACTAGCTGATTAACTCAAGAAAACTTTTATTCACAGAATACTTATTTAGAATGATAGATAGTTTCATAGGTAATTAGTGACTGGATTAATGAAATCTTTTTGGGCTATCATCCATGTGAATATGAAGTGAGTTTCCAAATAACTGGAAAATGTAAGAAAATCATTCCATACCAAGACTAGGATTGTAGTTAGCATCTCTTTGGAAAACACTTTGAAGCACAAGGCTTTAGGCCAATCAAGTCAAGCTTTATAGCACAAGCAACCATTACCCCATAATATGCATAGGATTTATAACTCACTAGACAGGAGTCGTCCGTCTCAAAGCGTCTAACCCGAAATCTTTCCGTCTCTGTTGAGGCGACAACTCGTCTGTTGTGGTGGCCACTGCCCTGACAGGTGGCATAGGAGGATGATCATCCAAATCAAAAGTCACAAACTCATGTTCATGTTGCATCGAAGGAGAATAATCCTCATCATCAATATCGTTATCACCACATGAGTTAATATCAGCTGTCGTAGACACAGTGTTAGTCGTAGCGTCACGTGGGAAGAATGAAGAATGAGACGCTGACAGTTCTCTGGCACTACCATGGTGATGCGGATGATGGTGGTGATGATGTTGATGGTGATGGTGGTGATGAAGATCAATTGGTGGTGGTGTTGCTTCACATTCTTCTTCTCCATGATGATGGTGATAATAATGTTGATGATATCCTGTAGAAGTGTCAATAACAGTTCCTGCTGGAGCTGGGAAACTGTAATAGGAAGATGAAGTTATGTCTCTCATGGAGCCAGTGAATGATGGGAGTGGCAGGTGTCTACAGGGTGATGGCACTCCACTGTTGCCACACTCCACAGCATCAGGACCCCTAGGATCACGATTCAAGTATAACCGGCGTTGAGGAGAGGCTCTGTGGCCTTGCGGAGGTCTTCCAGAGGTATACTGCTGCTGTTGGTTGGAATGTGGATGGCGTCTGCATGGAACCATAATGTTTGGGTTGTGGTGATCCACAGTGAGGAGCATCGTGGACGCAGACATTTTGCGGCGATGGAGGTGAAGCTCATGTCGTTTGCGACCCCATTCTTTCTGGTGCCAGTAGATGTACAGGAATATTGCACATGTCCCAGCTATTTCAGTAGCCATGAATCCAGATACAACCAGAAGAAAGCTGAACCCATAGCGGTAGGTGAACAGAGGCGGCTGAAGCTGTGATCTGGGGCGCAGCTTGCTGCCAATCTCAGCCTTGAAGATGGAGATGTACATAACCAGACCAATTAACATCAGCAGCCCTGGAAGACATTAACACAGAGTTACAGTCTGTTATAATTAATATTTTCACATAAAGTGATTTGTAATTGTCACAGAATATTTTTACGGTTATGAAATCAAGAAGATGGACGTGACATACAAAAGTTTAGAAGGAGATAATTTGGATGTCTGCGGGAAGATACATAATTTAAAACAGATCTTAAAGATGATGTGAAGATATAAGCTGGATTGAATGTGTATCAGGGTAGGGTCCAATGGTGAGATTTTGCAACTTGGTAGCGGGTGTCTTGATTATGTAAAGTACTGACGCGATGTCACAGCCTCCAGCATTAAAATCACTATCTGCAATGTCTTGAGGACTTAAAATCTCAGTTAATAAACCTTTCTATTTGTTATTAAAAAGACCTGCAGTCAAATTACTGTTATACCAGAGCATCAATGTGAATTTACACCAACTATCACAGGAGTTGCGTCCCGCGCTGTAGCTGCGCGGTCTGAGGCATCATGCTTCGGGCCAGAGATGTGGAAAGTGTGCTGGTTCGGGGGAGAAGAAATTTTCTCATGAGCTTTCGACCAGTGTATGGGACCGGTGCCAACCCAGCATCGTGAGTAAATTGGGGATCTACAATGAGTAGCGTAATCCAGTCAGGAAAACTATCAATGGCTGGGGGTTCGTCGTGCTGACCACACGTCAACCTATATCTGGTTGGATGATCGTTCACCTCTGCTTAGGCATGTGAACGTGAGGCCACCATACAAGCTAGTCGGCTTTGGCTCTCTGGAGCTGTTACGCCACGGATTTCATTTCATTTCATCAACGGAGTTGCTTACTGTTATTCTATTGTAGTGCAGATACAACTTCACTCGTCAGAGTTTCTCTCTTGTTAGGAATAACAATACCATAACAGACACGTTCAGTGGGCAGACAGACAAATGCTCGACCAGAATCGTAGCAGATTTCAGTCGTACCCTAACAAGATAAGACACATAGTACCAACATTATAGCTGTATCTGCATTAAAGTTATATGAATGCTGGAGCTGTTGCTACAGAAATGGTGAACGGGCAATAATACACAAATCCTTAGTAGTACAACTTGAATTTACTGTACATACACGCTCTTTACCTGTCATTTTATATGGGAATGAAACTTGACTTCTTGGCATAAAAGAACGTGATTATGTTTTAGAACAGTGTGATGAAGAAAATATTTTGACTTATGTGCAAGAAGTAACGTGAAGATAAAATAAAGTACTGTTTGGGGGCCTAGGCATTGATGGAAGTATTATATTAAAATAAATAATACATGATCTGAGTGTAAAGTTTTTGTATTATATTAAAATAAATAATACATGAACTGAGTGTGAAGTTTTGGAATGGATTCAAGTGGTTATATGCAAACGTAATTAAAATTCGTGTTCTACAAAAATGTAGACAATCACAGGATAAATTTTAAAAACTTGATGACTTATATCCTCTTATTTGCTTTTCGCACATGTCACGTGATAAATAATTTGTTTATGAAGCAGCTGGACCGAGATTATAAATGTACTCACGGTCTGACTCCACCAACTCCGGTGTGTTGACATGGCTGGGTAAACGATATTTCTGGACCCTTGTCTTACCCACCTGATATGATACAGAGTACGCCAGAAACGAAGGTAAAGACTCGTCTCTGACGTGCGAAATGTCCAAATAGGCAGCAGAATTCTCCCACGAACAGGAATATTGTAGCCAAGATGAAGAAGAGGGCTGACTTGGTCACGGCATCTGCGAGAACACAAACAGATGTTACATTTGGAGGTTAGAATCTACAATGACGTGATTTTATTGGCCAATAACTCTTCACGTTATAATGGAAAAGTATTTTCCTGCGCAGTCCCCGTAGAGATTGTGACACACGCCGTAATACGAGGTTCCATGTACCGAGCTGTTCTTCCAAACACCAACGCACTGCCATTTTCATGTTACCATTGTTTCAACTAACTCCACTGAATATAGTGCTTCTTAAGAAGCTAATTTCGTTACGCTATTAAAGAAATTACACGCCTTTTCAGGAACTCTAAAGTTAACTGTGTTTGCAAGAACCTCTCAATGGACCCTATCATAAACCAGTTGAATTAAGCCCACAATTTAAGATGCAGTTGAACGGTATCGTATTAGAAAGATACGTGTGTACATCCGCCCTTGTTTTAATATCGTAAGTTAATATTATGGATAAGAAATGTACCGTGCAATTTTCGTGAAATTCAGTACAAACGTCACATTACTGGGGAGATCAATACAACGTGGTAATTTTTTTTTTTTTAAATTTATGTCGCTAGCAATACAAAGGCGGCCACACGAGTTGATGAAGTGAAAATAACGCTAGTTCATTTGATGCTGACAATTTTATCTGGCGATAGATCTTAGAAATACGAAGATATTTATAGGTTACTTTTCTGTGAGATTAACTCAGCTGTTTTCGGAGTAGAATAATGATGCACTGATTTTCATCTATTTGGTATTACGTAATTAGGTGGCAGAGGTCTGCGTAAGCCTGTGGCCAGTGTAGTGGGTTAACATTACCATACATGCAAACGCACTCAACCGTGTAGGAGAAGTTCTGCAAGATGACAAGGTGCATAATAACGGCCGAGTTAACGTGGAACAACGGAAATATTTTCATATGGATTTAATTTTCTTTTCGGGGACGATGAAATAATCGACCTTCAGGCCAGCAATATTTCCATATAAACTTCTTCTTCTGTAGTGTAAATATGTTTGCCACCAGACCCCACTCCATAATTAATTCATTTTCGGAGGGGGGGGGGGATTTTGCCAAACAATATTCAGTCACGCGTGTTTCTGTTTCAAACTTCGTCAATTTTGTTTGTTTGTTTGATTTGAGGTTTTCACAACGGGACAGGCCTAAGTTCGGTTGTTTCGTGTTTTACCTTCTGATTGTATTCCGACGTTTCGGAGAATAATACAGAAGTCTGTACGACCCAATAACAACCCAAGTTTACAAAATAAAATCGGTTTAGACCACAACAGTCTCTTTGTTTGTGAATCACGGCTAGTTTGTGCTTACGGAAGAATGGAAGCATGGATGAATTTCTGCTTCAGAGGTCGTAACCTGGCGGGGGTAGGGTTGTGGAGACTTTATTGGTTTGGGTCACGTCTTCTGATACAGCCTCTTGAGATGGAGCGAACATCTCCCACTATCCGAGGCAGACAGCAAACGCCACAAGTAACATCAATTACATGCAAAAGTGTCATACAGGAATTGTAGTAAATCGTAGGTATCAGATGTTGACTGATTCAGAACACACATCACTACCTCGTTTAACAGTTACAAAAATATTATTTACGCAAATAAAATAATATATAATTAACAATGATTTTCTCAATATTGTCGACCAAGCTAAGCTAACAGAAACTGCCAATAACCTGAAAGGTGTTCCCCGTCACCATCTTTGGTCTTTGTATCAAGTGTTTAATAGAAAGTTTCTAGAAAATCTTTCTAGCCTGTCACCATTACTACCTGTGACATTTCTAGGTAAAGTTTACGAAATGTATTGAATTGGGAGACAAAAATAACTACTATGGAAGTTTAAAAATTTAATGAACCTTTATGAAATTTTGTGTGAGAATATGAACTAAATTCAACTGCTTCAGGACTGGGTCTCTTTGAAACCACAGTAATTAACTTCGGGTTTAATTCGAATGGAATGTTGACCAGTTAAAGCGAATTAAGTAGGACTCTGCTCTTTGTAGTTAGTCATATTTAACTTCCCCTTTTATTTATTTACAATGTGGGGAAGTAAATGTTTCGACATCCCATTACGAAAATGAAAAGAGCTTTAGTGTGCTAACTAATTAATAGTTTAATCCTTCATAAAATTACATTTCAGGAGTTTTAATTTTCGTTTAACTGTTGTTTTGATTTTTTATATAAATGCCAGGGGCTCTATAGAGGCTGCTATCCATTTGTACGGTAGGAGTGATCTGTCGCTGCGATGACATCAATTTAAAGTGTAACGTTCCTGTCACTAATTTTTACGTCTGCTTCAAGCGGTAGTTTATCTACTTAGTATTTGGACAGCCACGTTTATATGTGTACTATCCGGAAGTAACTACAGCATCAGATATGTGCGAGATCAGCATAAACTTTAAAGCAGAACAAGTAGTTTGACATAGCGTTACAGCATTTGACTTCAAGTTAAAACGTATAAAGTTGGACTACCTTCTGGTAGCATGATGTTCATACAGATTTTTATTTTCTTAAATACACGAAATTAGCTTAGAAAAAATTTACGTCGAACAAGTTAGAAACCGTAAGGATAACAATGCCGGGGCGAACGACGGAACATGATGGGATTGGCGCCGATGAACAGCGAGGTGTCTGGGCGAACAAGGACGTCATAGTGAGGATTCCCATGTGAGTGCTTTGCTTGTTGGGGATTCCCCACCCAGCAACTTTCTCACGCAAAAATGCACGTAGGAAATGTGTGAAATTTCTTTATTGTTGTCCGATCTCAACCAAAATTGGAAGGTGTCGATAAAGCCAAAGACTTTTCGATGTCAAATTTTATGAAAATCAATCCCGAGGTTCATGATTGAGACAGACAGATGAAACTAAGAGACACAGTTTTGCAGCCTATAGTTGCGGATGGGCCTATGTCTGCTTTGATTAAACAACCGTGAAAACATTGATGTTTTCAAAGATCTCAAAAGTCTTTTGTCGGAGGCATTCCCACGGATTCTCAGTAACTGCGAATTGATCAGACGTCGACACACAAAACCGATGATGCATCTGTCACAGCAATATCCTATGAAAAATCACTTACAGTAATGATATCGGAATTCAATTCAGAAGCTCGCTTTATGTGCATCGACTAAAGCCTGTTAACTTTCCCTGTTGTACCTGACATCTGTCGGTTCTGATCGGATACACAAGCAACAAGTGACAGCCGCGCTACGACGAAAAATGGTATACGGGACGGCTTCAGATTTCCGTCATTTATTCCACTTGCGAATTACACGCACGTTATTTAAACACGCTGTTTCAAATGCACGGGCCATTATTGTCTCACGTTATGAGACGATAATCAAAGCAGCATATATGTATTTATGATTTTTTAAGGACGCCATCAGTAGCTCAGACTACACAGCTTAAAATGATACGTGAAATAGAAAGGGCATGGAAGGAAGAGACCGTGGCCTAATTCAAGGTAATGTGCAGGCATTTTCCTGCATAGACTGAGGAATACTAAGACAGACTTCATTCAGGATATCTGGTAACGCAACTGATATCCCAATTCAGTATACAAATCTTAAACTTTACCTACTGTTGTGTACACAACGTGCTTTTTACCGTATGTTATATAGTGTCGTACTATTCATTAAGTTTGCCTGTGCTGAATTTAAAAGTATCTGAAAGGAAGTAATACTGTTATCCTTGAAGGGAGTATTGCAGTATTTTTAAAGAAAGACCCTTATGCCCTTGTTACCCATAAGTTGCAGGTCAGTTCTTTCGTAGCAAAACCAAACACAGTCAGACGGTCAATTTGAGGTACGTCATCGCTCACGAAGACTTAGTCCGTAACGGAGAAAGTCCCTTCCCGTAGCTGTGGGAGCTGCCAGGCAGCCAGTCTTCTGGGATACTGCGCCGTGAAAGCTCGCACTCGTCGCCCTCACGACAGAGGCAGTAAGCACCTCTGAAACGTCAGGTCAAATTATACGTGACTACACTGTGAAACACCCCAGAAGACAGCCATCTTCAAACTCGCCGCCGTGAGTACATTAAATCTCACACAGAAACCTGTTCCAACGTCCACCAGGTTGTTTCTAGGTCTCCCGAAGGTCCTTATTAATTTCCGATATTATTTTATAATTCACCATCTTTAAACGTACAAACAGTTTCTATCTACATTTTAACTAACTTCATGGAAGTCATCTTTAAGAGACATTACATAAGTTCCTTGTCCTTTACGGAACATGAAGGTTAATTACCATGTTCACAAAAGACAGCCACAAGACCCTATACTGAGCCATTTGAATCGGGTCCCCATCTTCACATCCTCTCTCTGCAGCATATATTTTAATAAGATCCTCATTTATGCACCTAGTTATAATAAATATACACTTTATTCTGCTTCTGAATGTTATTTATATTCGTTCCTTGCACCTTATCAAATGAATTTATAATGTCGAAAACGAAGAGGAATATAAGAAAAGAAAAGATTTAGAAGATGGTACAGTCATTAAGTCGCAGAACTGTAAAGCTTGGACCAATTAACATTGTTTACCGCGGTTTTAAATGCTGTCCTTCCCTTCTGGAAGCTGTCGGTCTCCGCATCCCTGCTCGGAATCTGAGAGATTTTTCTATGTTCAGTTTTAGCCCCTTGTTCAAAAACAGTCCTTCTGCTAGATGCGCATCAGCTGCTAATGTTGTCTGCAGGGATTTGGACATATTCGAGACGAAAATTGTCACACTTAATCATATTCTATAATAGCATAATTTACTTAATTGATGCATGTTATTTTACAAATATCCTAATGTAGTTAGTAGTAATTTTTTGTGTACTTTCCGTATCAATGTATTTTATATATTGCTTGTTTTACCTTTTATGTTTTACTGTGTTTGTGAGTTTATCTCTGTGCTGTATCTGTAATTGGCCACAAGGCTGTTGATACAGCACACAAATAATAAAGAATTGAAGAATTGAATTGAATACAGAAAAGTAGCGAATTTCTCGAAATCTGACGAGCGCCTTCGAAGATAT